GAGCTTTTCACGATTAACGTAGAAAACATGATCCACAAAAAAGTACAATCGACAATTTTTTTCCCCCCATAGAGCAAACAAGATAGAAAGAAAGAGAAAAGATGTTGAATTATTTTGGTGGTTTTTTTTTCTCTTTCCATCTACGAAAAGGATAATAAAACTTAGTAAAAAAAAAGAAAAAAAAAGGAGAAATAGTTGGGTTACTTCTACGTGCACCGCAAAACATATTTTTTTGTCAAGAAAGATCCTCTCGACACAGTCTTACCTTTATTTCTTTCTTTCTTTCCTTTTTTTTTGTCTCTCTCTCTTTCTCTCTTTCTCTCTTTCTGTCGAGGGTGGTAACGTCGAGTAAAAATCGTCACAATTATCGACACGTACATCCCTTCGAGCGTACGACTGCAAAAGGGAGAGGGAGGGAGAGAACTAAAAACCGCTGCTACGTGAGAGGAATAAAATAACGAGCAAAGAAATCTGACTTTTCTTCAACATTTTTTCTCGTGATTGACGTCACGTTTCACGATATTACACGTTCGTAAATACACCTACGTTCTTTCCTTAGTTTTTCCTTTTTTTTTTTTTTTTTATACAAAAATTTTTATTTAAAAAGAAAAGAAAAATAACCCGAAAGAGTATCGTACGAGTGTGTAATATAAAAAAAAAAGTCATTGGATTTGTAAACGATGAAGAAATCAAAATATTATAATAAAGGAAAGTTTAACAAAAGTGACACTTACTTTAAGATTACTCCTAATGTGTCAAAGACGTTTGAAAAAAAAAAAGCAAAAAAAAGATAAAGTGAAAGTTGAAATTGGTGTCGATATTTTGCGAGGAAATTGAACTGTCACCGTTGCGATCGAATAGACCTTGCAAAGCCACACCAGTTTATGACACGAGGGTTGAAGATACTATCGTGCATCCATGGGAACATTCGCTCCCTTCGTCAAATATGTCTATCCATCCATCCTTCCCTGTGGGAGTGCCATGGGAAACGTTCGAGTTTACGTAGGAAAATTTATGGATTAATTGTAACACCTTCGACGTTAGTTATTTCAAATTAGTTATTTCTTTTTTTATTAAACATATTTAACTTAATTATTTCATTTATTTAGTTAAACAAGTTAAAAACATATTAAAATAATGGATTTACACAACAATAAAATTGTAACACCTTCGACGTAAATTATTTCAAATTAGTTATTTCTTTTTTGTATTAAATCTGAGATGCATAGTTATGGTAATTTATTAAAATAGGAAGCTAATGAATTATACTACAATAATTGTAACACCTTTAAAGTTGGATCACTCCACGTAATTTTATTCTACTTATTTCTTATTCTAAATTACGATCAAATTAATTATTTGTTTTTGTATTAAATCTGAAAATTGTAACACCTTCAAAATTGGATCACTCCACGTAATTATATTCTACTTATCTCTTATTCTAAATTACGATCAAATTACTCATTTTTATCTTGTGTTAAATCTGAGAGAGAGAGAGAGAGAGAGAGAGATTCATAGTTATGGTTATATGTTAAAATAGAAAATAACTGATTATACTAACAATAAATATAAATCTTAAAGAAAGGATAAAATTAGCTCGCGGTAATCGTGATTTTATACGGAAGAAAATATTAAGAAGATGGAAGATAGAAGATGAGTAGAAACTCGTATATGCGTTTGTTAGAAGTAAATGCCGACAATACTTCCGACATACGTTCCGGCTCATGTATTCGCTCAACGCGCATTCAGGTAGCTCGGCCGAGTATAATCGTTTATGAGCAGACCGACTGTTCTTGCAACTCGAAGCGTGAAATAGTTATAGTTTGGTAACGGTTACGAAAATACGAGCAATGCGAGCTCGTTTCCCGGAGATAATAACGGCGCTATGTTGTTTTCCTATATGTTGTTTTATCCCGTTAACGCCATATTGTCATTCTTGGCTCTTCGTTAAAACGTTTATAGTCGTCGTGCGAGTATTATCATGCTTTTATTTATCACCTACACCTCTCACGCTTATCCTGCACCATCGTCTAATTAAATTTTTCAAATCTCTCTCTTTCTCTCTCTCTCTCTCTCTGATTTCTAATAAAACGTTTTATCGTTGTTTATTCGAATTGTTTCTCTCACGCGAATCAATTTAATCACGATCGAGTTTATTTTTAGCCTATCGATCATTCTTTAATAGATACCACATACAATTATCAATTTGATTATTTTTATAATAAAATAATTCAATAATATCGAGATTATTCGAACAATCCTTTAAATATATCCTGGTACACACCCTTGATCGTTAGTATGATACACGTTACACGTCGAAAAGAAAGAAAGGAAAGAAATAATAAAAAAAAGAAAGGGAATGCAAAAATCACGAGGAATACAAGCAAGCTATGACTTATGCATACCCCCCCGTGGTTTTCCCATTAGCCATACAAACGAGCATAGAATCAGCATGGCACGATCGAACTATGTTTCTCTTTGACGTATGTGTGGTGTCGTTGTTAGTATGCCACCTGTGTCGCGAGCCTTACAACCTTTTTATTTTTTTTGTTTTTTTTTTTTTACTCCTCCTATCACCCCTTTATTCTACCCACCCCCTTTCTCACACATACACAAACACATACATAGATACATTGTATAAATTTATAATAATTTTGGTATCAAAAAAAAAAAAAAAGAACTAAAAAATGAAGGATAACTTTTGTTTGCGATTATTCATCACTCTTAAGAAGTTGTTTTAAAAGCAGCTATTAAAATCGTACAGTTGGCAAACACGATACTACTCTAAACGCATTTGGGATTCTTATTTGTATGCACATCTCGTTTTGGTTCGGTAACCGCAAACGTTTGCGGCTTCAAATCCTAAGATTACGCGCACCCACCCGCCTATTCGGTAAACGTCGTTCGTTTCTACCTTCGTTTTCTACCTTTAGCCCGTTTTACCTCATCGATTGTCCCTGCGGTTTAGCCTCTCCTTCTTCGAAAATAAACCTAACTTTATGAAAATGACTAACCCACCTCGATAGGAAAACTTCCTTTTGCTACGATCAATAAATATAGATATAATATATATGTATATATTCAAAAAGATAAACAAATAAATGTCTCTTTATACCACCAAATCCTTTCAATATTATTTTTATTTCATAGAATATTTTTCATACGAATTTCATACATATACTTATGTATTTATATATTTATATATTTCTTATATATTTGTATTATATATTTATATATTTATATTATATATTTATTATTTATATATATATATATATATATATATATGTATATATATATATTATATATATATATATATATATTATATTATATATTTATATATGTATAAATTTTTATTATTATTATATATATATATTTCATTTAAAGCAGAAATGTTTGAATACACGTCGATAAAAAGTAATTATTTCTTTTTTTTTTCTTCTTTTTTTTTTTTTTTATTTCTTTTACGCGAGCACGTATGTAAACTAATATATCGACATGTTATATAATTAAAATTCGACGTTGGATGTTTCGTAACGCAGTTTAATTACCATGTGGGACATTCAACGGAAGGCAATTAAAAGTTTTACCACAGTCGGTCTGTTTCGAATCGCCGTACTTATTACCCTTCTATTTCCGAACGTAACTTACACTTCTCTATTGCTTGTATACATTTTTATTTTCTTTTTTATTATATTTTTATTTTTCGTGGTATTTTTCTCCAATATTTTTCTCTTTCTCTCGTTTTTATTTATTTATTTATTTTTTTTTTCGTTTTTTTTTTATCCACTTCTTTTTTTTTTATTTTTTGTCCAGATCGAAGCAACTTTCGATATAAAACATTCCGTCCAAGTCGTCTCGTTTATACACTGGGTTATAAAAAAATATTGGCACGCGGTTTTCCCTTGTGTTTTGTACACTCTCACGTAGAAATTTATTTTTACGAATAAATATAAAAAAAAAAAAAAAAGGAAAAAAAATACCCATGAATCACAAAGAAGAAAAAAAGAAAGAAAATAAAATTGGGAAAAATCGATGGTTGCACATATGTATCATCGTTGCTAGAGTATTATAAATGTAATACATATTTTCTTTGTTTGAAAGATTATTAACTGTTATCTTGAAAATAAAAATCATCCATTCTTTATCTCTTTGTCAATGTAACATGTCGATGTTCTAGAGAAATAGTTTCAATTTATTCCAAAGGATAAGAAGAAAGAATTTCTTTTTCAACAAAAGAAAGAAATGCGCGGAATGTGCAATTTTTCTACTTTCCGATAACCTGAATTCATCAATTTGCGATCGATCAAACGATCGACATTTTTCATTTTAATGGAATTTACGTGTACTCCTTTTGTTGGATTTATTTGCGACAATACTTTGAATTTTTTTTCCACGTTTCTTTTAAGCAATTATTATTATTATTATTATTATTATTATTATTATTATTATTATTATTATTATTATTATTATCTAAAAAAAATAAAAAGAGAGACATTAATGATTAATATAATTGATCTTATTAATACTTACAGTTTTAACGAGTATTTTCCCGTGTGTGTATTTTTCTTTCAAGCAATTATTATTATTATTATTATTATTATTATTATTATTATTATTATTATTATTATTATTATTATCTAAAAAAAATAAAAAGAGAGACATTATTTATATGCATATATCATGTATGTTATTTATTATTATTAATTACATTGGTTATACATTTATAAGTTTTTTTTTTCCTTTTTTATAACACGATTATATTTTAACAATAAAATTTAACGTTAAAATCGATAAAGTCTAATTAAAAAAAAAAAAAAAGAAAAAGAAGAAAGAAGCTAACTTAAAAGAGGATATTACCAGCGTGTCGTCAAAATAAAGAAAACAAAAAGAACAGAACAGAACAGAACAATACAGAACAAATATCTCTACCTATGATTATTCCTATGATTATTCCTATGATTATTTCCACGCTGTGCATTACCCTCTATTCGGCTAGAGATATCAAGAGATATCAAGAGAGAAAGAGAGAGCTTAAAAGAAAGCTCAAATTCTCTTGAATTGTGCGTACTAATCCAACCTTAGTTTTTTCTTCTTTTTTTTTTTTTTTTTTACAATTTTTACAATTTTCGTTAGAATAGATTCCCTTTTTGACATGGCGAATGGACGAATATTTTAGTTCTTATTTGTTTGCTTGCTTGCTTGCTTGCTTGCTTGCTTGGTGGATGAGAACCAAAGAAAAAGGTAGAAGAGAAAAAAAGAAAAAAAAAACCTTTAAGAGTAGCAGTATAAGCAGCAACAGCAGAAACGTTGATGTTGGCGTCAGGTAAAAGCTGCTGCTGGTAGGTCATCGTCGTCGTCGTCGTCGTCGTCATTATTATCTAGGCCACGATGTAGGGTGCGCTGTAGCCAGCTGCATAATAGGGGTAGCTCGAATATGCAGCTGTGTATGCGTAAGGGTAGGCGTACGCTGCTGCTGAGGTATAAGCAACCGGAGCTGTGTATGCAATTGGTGCAGTGTACGCAGCACCGATTAATACTCCACGTTTGTTTCTAGCCGCTTCTGCTTCTAATGGGTTGTTGTTTGCATTAGAAGGCTCGATCGACTCTGCTTCAACCGGTTTCGTATCTTCGGCGAAGGCAATTGCGATCATAGCGAAAAGGGCGATAGCCTAAATCAAAATAATAATAATACATTTTTTAATTAACTTGTATTATATAAAAATATAAATAAATTTATAAATTAATATTAATATATAATATTTATTTTTATAAATTATATAATTTTATTTATCTCTTATCTCTATAAAATTCCCCTGTCACAGTGTTTGTTATTCTTATTCTCCCAAACGACTTGACCGATTTATATGAAATTTTTTGTGTATATTCGGTAGGTATGAGAATAGTTTTTCGTATATTTCTTATACCCCTGAGTGATAAGGGTGACCCACCATAATTATTTTTCTTTTAAAAGGATATTAAGAAAAAAGAGAAAAAAAAGACAAATGTTATGTGCCTATATTCAAACAATGTAAAATTATATGATGTGAAGTAAGTGGTGATCTTATGTTACCGCTCATGCGCAGTTGGTTCGATATTAAGAAAAAAGAGAAAAAGAAGACAAATTTTATGTGCGTAGATTCAGATCTATCTATATATTTATTAGCCACAGCAACGCGTGGCCGGGGCACTCCTAGTTTTATTATATAATAAATAATTAACTATAATAATTAGCTAAAAATGAAACATTTAATTTTAAATTGACGATATTACAAACGAATTTCTAATCAATCACGATTTATTAACGTTAGTTCTAGTATATATGTGTTATAAAAAAGTAAATAATAAGTAAGATTTTGTATATAAATAAGAAGATGTGATGATAATACTTTTAGATCAGAATTAGTATCGTTAATAAGAATTGTACTCACGACGAAGCACTTCATGTTGATTATTGGTTGGCGGAGTAGTTCTTCGTTGAAACTCGAAAGGTTTGTAGTTGAAGATCGATTGATGGTTCGAGTTGAGTTCCAGTCCGTTTTATAGCTCGATCGATCGGAGTCAAATGCAAGGGAAGAAGAAGTCTTACTATACTTTTCGTACGCGAGTTGACTACCAAATTGTATATTTAACGTCGCGTAATCGTGCATAATCAAGTATAATCGTGATCGTCTTCATTGTCACGTAATCTTTCGGCACCGAATAAATTGTGTCGGCTTGGGTTGGTTAGTTAATACGGTTTATGAAAGCTTATGGGTTAGGTAGATTGTGAAATAACGATTGTGTTGTTGAAACGAAGAGGATAACTCGATCGTTGTTGGCTACTGTCGATGTTAAGCAAGCAAACTGTCCTTGGCCAATGGCCAAACACACACACACACACACACACACACATAGACCAGGGGCACGCAACATTCTTTCGGCCATCGATCGAGCACACGTTCAATCGTTTTGCGACCTTGTCGAGGTCGATCTAAACATCTTTTTTCTTTTTTTTTTCTTTTTTCTTTATTGCATTCGTTTTTCTTCCTTCGTTTCTTCTTCTTTCCTTCACATTCGCACGTGTCTTCCATTTTTTATATTTTTTTTTTTTTCATTATTGTCAAAACTTTGCAATAATTTTAATATAATAATTATTGTTTTTTTTTTGGTTTATTTGCATCTAAAGTTCGCAACTTAATCGCATTCTATCCATCGAAAAGCGAACATAGGTCAAGGAAACTAGGTTCCAAATTTTATGTTCTCCTAATATTGACGAGTTCCTAACACATTTTCTACGTATATATAACAAGACCACCGAATTAGGTCTCTAACCATAAATCTTTACATCATAAAACTATAAATTGTATTTATTCTAAGACACCTTCAGTCCCATTACATCGAGTGCACCCACCGTAAAAAAACTTCCTTACTCCAAATACACCCTTAGTTAATATTCATATAATTTTCAATCGTTATTAATTAACAGATAGGGCTATAAATAATTGCGTTTTCGATTACCATATGAACAAGAAAATAAATCAGTTGTTGATTTCATTTAAAGAGAGTCTTATTATCTTATGAACTATTAGTATTCTAAACACAGTCTCTCGTTCCAAGTGTCGAAAGCGTTTCTCATCAAGGTCGATAGACACGAGCAGCTGATTCTCCCTTTTGGAAGGAAGGAAGGTAGGAAGGAAGAAGAGAAGGTAGGACGCAGTTGCTAGATTATGCCCTTCGATTCTCTCGAGGTTAGAGAGAGAAATGGTAACCCATTGAAATTCTACAAGGTAATAGTAGTAGTAGTAATAGTAGTAGTACGCGCGCATTTAGCTTACGCTATTTGCGATCATTTTCAACGCGTCGATTTAGCCTATTCTAAGCTTCTCTACACGTTTCTAACGCGTTTTCGGTTAAATTAGAGCAGAAGGAGAGACATAGAATCATGCGTACGGATTAAATTGTGTCTTCCCTACCTACGAACGTTTCATTGCGTGTCATTCATTAACCTAAAACGTCGTATTATTTAATGAGCTTTTGAAAGTTTATCTCTCTTTCACCGACAATTAGAAAATCTAATTTGAAAGGGTAACACCTATTTAAACGCGTCTTTTAAATTTTACCGACATTATTTAGTTTTGTTCTTTTTTTTTCTTTTTTTTTTTTTTTTTTTTT